TCAATGTCGCCTCATTTCAACTCCTTATCCTGATTTTTAAACGGTTTAGTTTAGAGGTTGGAGCTCAGACGAATACGTGTGTGACCTGGATTATGCTGTCTAGAGTAAATTCTAAGAGGAATTTTGCCAGCAGGGTTAGTTAACCATTAGAACACCTCTCACATGATAGTCTTGTCCCTTGAAACTTTCTAAAATGTATACAACCAGAAACAATGGATTATGCAGATACTACTGGGTGAAATCAAATGGCTCTGTTTATGCAGAAGAGTGAGACCAGATGATGGTAACTAATCTCTCTTGATACGTTATTTGGGAATAAATCTTTGAATCCACCCACTCCCATGACGTGCTGAAGTCAAAAGGAAATACATAATAAATTCCACAGCTGTAGCAGAAATAGGAAGTAACTTACCTGTATGTTCCCTTGCTGTTCCATTGAAATTCATGGCATTGAAATATCTGGCAGCGCTCATCCCAAACCCATAGTAACCACACAGAAATGAGGGGCTCACCAGCACCTTAAGTAGAGTAAAATGGCTTGATACCATCTCCATCTTCCTTTGCTGTAGCTGCACTCTTCCATCCCTTTTGCTCTGTCTCACTGGCTCAGCTGTAGCAGCTCGGTTCTTCCTAACGAGTCCCAGCAGTCATGAATGGCTAATCATACTCCCTGTCCTATTCATTAGTTTTCTCCCCTGTGCCAGAGAAATCCTGGCCTTCAAGTTCGTGATTTAAGAGGGGAAGAGGCTGAGCTCACGTTACTGGCAATGACAGCTGAATGAACTTCTTCCAGTTTCTGGTGTGTGCTGTCACTGTCATTTACCCCTTGGAAGGGTTGTGGTGTGGGATGCTGATGATACTGAATGGGAAACGGTTTGCAATTGCTGCCAGGCACGAACATAGCTATGTGTGTGTGTCTGGTCATCTGCAAGCTCTTGCTCTGGGTCCAGGGCACAGGTTTTGCATGAATCAATAAACAACTTCTGTTCCCTCTTTCCTAGCAGGGACTATCTGACTATAGGAGCAAGGTGGGAAGGATTAGGTGTTTATACAATAAAATTAACCAGAGCTCTGCACAAGTACTCCTTTGTGTCCCTGAAACAGGCTCCTTCTTTCACACACAGCTCCTATTGGTCTTGGAGGTTTGTTATGCAGATAAACTTGGCGTGTGATGACTATTTATAGCGCAAAGCAGAGAGCTGCTATGTTTTGGAAAATCCTTTAGTGTTCCTGAAGGTCCCTGCCTGGTTTGTGCGGGTGAATATTCTTGGCTCTTGATTTCACCAGCTCGTGTGATCATTTGCAGTCGGCAACAATGCAAGCAAGAAGCCTTTGCGCTCATTTTTCTTGGCGGTGATGCTTTTTTCATTAGATCAGCTTTGAAGCTGTTGGGGGCAAAGTCAGAGAGCAGCTGGAGGAGGGAACCTAGACAGAGGAGTCTACGTGCGTGCAATGCTAATGTGTTGAAGCCAATGAAAGGGAGCAGGAATCGTGGAGGGGGAGGCAGCCCTGCATCCTTTAACTTGTGTCCTGTGCCTGGGACCTGCATCATACAACTGACATCATGCACCTTTGGGAAACACTTTTTAACACCCCTGCCTACAGGAGGGAATGAAAGATTTTAAGTCTGTATTAAAGGGTAAAGTAGTGAGGGGAAAAGAAAAACAGGACAAGCTGTGGTGTCCATTGATTTTCAGTTCTTCCCTGATCACAATGTGAATTACTTTTTTAGAGTCTGTTATGTTGAACTTTTGACCCATCCTGGTTTAACACAGTTTCAAGACCCTTTGTGAAACAGGCTGCTATCTAATGGGTCACACTGTTAAATTACCGTCTGCTACTTGAATGGAAGGTATTCAAGAATAGCTGTTACCCTTTAGATCCGTGCCTGGCCTAAAACTAAATGCACTTTCCAGTGTAGGCAGACTTTGATCCCCGTAGGCTCATCACTGGTGCTTGTACTCTCATGAGAAGAGGCACGCAGGAATATCTTTTCTTCTGCTCTGTTGGATACAGGAGCACCTTTTGTAGGAGCAGGATTGTTACACAGTGTAAGCGGAAAATAGGAACTGACTACGTGCCTCACATTTTATCACAACCTTGTTTGAAGTCACAATTAGACACATGGCAGCTGAATACATATCATTCAGACTTGAGTAATTTCTCAATGGAGACTGAATACTTTCAACAGAGGAAAGGGGTTATCTGGAATGCATCAATGCAGTTTGCGGGAACACTCATTTCTAACAAATAAGGGAGCAGTTGGTATGATATCCCTTTCCTGGGAGCCTGAATGCGTGATGCTGACTCGTTGTTCTCCTACACTTCAGGCACTGAACAGATGTTTTCTCATGGGACAGCTGACATCATCCTCGAGGCCTGCACAGACTTTTGGGATGGTACCGATATCTACCCCCTCTCTGGCTCTGACAGGTGGGCAGCTTTGTCATTTGGTGCATTCAGAAGCTGCAGATAAATTGCAGAAGGAACCTAGTCACTCGTTAAAATTCCCTTTAGTGATGCTTACTAAGCTAGTTAATAGAAGCTTCAAGTAGGTTACGAACATGAGCCGTCTCTGCTTGTAATTAATTGTTATAATTATAGCAATGTAAGAGATTAGATAGCAACAAGCAATCTGTGGGACTGCAAGACTAAGCCACTTCTTACTGTAACTGTTAACATATTAGCCCCTTGTAAGTGGGCTCTGACTAAACTGTATAGTAGGACCGTGAATTAGAATCAGGTCATATGCTGGTGGCAGAGAATTTTTTTGTTGTTTAAGACAAATGCCTTGTCTTACATGAAATGCAGCGATCAATTCTGCCTGCTGTTGGCAGCTTCAAACCAGTCCACCACAATGCATCACACCCTTTTAGTCCTGCTGCAATATCTGACAGTGTCTGTTGCATTTTCATCTATAGGCTAATTTTCTGTTCCTATTCTTTCATCGAATAGCAGCACATTTTTCTTCTAAGTCTGCTTATCCTCAGGTGTAAGAAAACTCACTAGTTCTTTTTGGAATATTTATCATCTTACAAGCTAGTGAAAAATCCCATGTATAGTCCAATTTGTTAACTTTGTGAGTTCAATGTAGGGAAGGAACATTACACTGTTTCAGTGACTGAATATTGACTAAATGGAGACTTCACATACAGGTCCTGGGACCCAAACTCAAAGGGGAAAGGAGGAGAGTCTGTTACTGTAATTATCTGTGCCATTGACACTATTGTCAGAGTTGTCAGTTCCTTCCTCGGTGTTTATCTCCCTACAGATAAATCCTCTCTCATGAATTAAGCTTCTGCTGTCATGCAATGAACTTCCTCGGAGTCATCTGGCAGCCATATAGAGCATATTATATTAATAAGTGTATTCACAGAGTACTGTGTTCATACTCATCAGTCTGATAAGCGAACAGAAACGTTCACCGCTGCCCCTGTTGGAATATGGTTTTGTTGCCCTGTAGTGCCTGCAGCTTAGAGAATGCAGAAACAGTAAGGAAAGGCTTTTTCAGAGTCTCTGACCACTCCTCATGGAATACATTTTTCCAAATACCCAGCTGATGATTTCTACGTTGAACTTCTGTGTATGTTGTCAGAAATGAGGTACATCTCTGCTAACTTTGTTTTTTTGTCTCTCCCACGTAGGAAGAAGGTGTTAGATTTCTACCAGCGAGCCTGCCTCTCAGGATACTGTTCTGCCTTCGCATACAAGCCCATGCATTGTGCCTTGTCCTCCCAGCTCAATGGCAAGTGCATAGAACTGGTGCAGGTCCCTGGGCAGAGTGCTATCTTCACATGCTGTGATCTCCCTGGGACAACCCCCATCAAACAGAGCAGTCGGAGGAATAGCTGGAGCTCAGATGGTATGTCTTCTGTGCTGTCTATAGTAAGGTCTGCTGCTGGGTCAAGTGCTTGCTTTCTGATCAATCTAAAGCTGTAAGAACATTGTTATTCAGAGTAGCAGATGGAAATTGAGAACTAAGGGTTTCTGAAGTAGATGCTTTTCCAGAGGAAGTAATGATGTAGCAGCTGGTAGGTATGTTTCCAGTTAAGTTATTGAAGCTTGCAGAGAAATTCTTCTACTTGTGGGAAGTCTGTTTCTTAAAGCAGGCAATGGAGAGTCAAGACTTCTAGGTGTTTCCATACTTGGTTTGCCATTTGTCTAATTTTATGGAAATCACATATGTTGGGATTTTCAAAGGAATTAAATGTATGGTGGTATGCAGCTATTCTCCCTTGATGGATTTTGTTGCTGTGCTGAAGTAACTGATTCCCACTAGGTGAATTGTGCATCTCCTCCAGAACAGCAGTGGAAACTAGGAAATAAGCACATACATAACTCCAGGAGGCTCTTTTGGAAAACCAGTCAGAATCTCTTTCTACCTCGGTCTTCCGTTCTGTAAAATGTGAATAATGGGCTTTCCAACAGCTGGGAGGCAGTTGTGACTGAGTGTTTTCAAAACACTTTTCAGTCCCACCTGTGGCAAGCTTTGCAACTGCATAAAGTGTTTTATTATTCTGTTCCCCATGCTGCATCCAGCTCCCATTCACCACAGGCTGATCTGGTGATGGTGAAGGAACCCTGTCAAGGAGCCTTAGCAGGCTCTTTGTGAGTGTCTGCAGTGTCACTGGAGGGAACATGATCCAGTTCCTTTGCATCAGCCCCTTGTACTCTGATGCCACTCTGCCTCAGCTAAATTTGCCGTGTTGTTTAAGCACAGTAATATGTGTTTAAAATGCACTTTATGTGGCGTACATCCTTTACCTTTCTGCCCCAGTTCCTTGTGACTGATCCCTGTCTTCTATTTTGTCTTTTTCCTTTCCATGCTCGCTGTTTCACGCTTGTATTCTTGGTCGCATATGTGGGGATGTCCTGAAACCGCTTCTGTGATTGGGTATGCTGGGACAAATGGGTGTCTCTTCATCTCTGCTCCTGTATATATGTGTGTGCGTATCTGCATGTTTCTGTGTACTGTGTCCTTGGATGTTACCTTGGTGGCCTCTCCCACCACGTGTACTTTGTCTGACGCACATGTGGCCCCTTGTGTCTAAATGTGATTGCGTGTTGTTTGCATGCCTGAAGAAGGGATTGGTGAAGTGATGGAGAAGGAAGACTGTATCCAGGCTCTGAGCGGACAGATCTTCATGGGAATGGTCTCATCTCAGTATCAGGCCCGTCTTGACATTGTCCGCCTCATTGATGGATTGGTCAATGCCTGCATTCGTTTTGTCTACTTCTCCCTGGAAGATGAGCTCAAAAGCAAGGTAAGCTGTCTTTTCTGAACCCCCTGAACTTGCACGTCCCCTGGTTGTCTGACTGGAGAGTTTAGCTCCAGTGCAATCTAAGGTTAATCTGATTCAGCTAGCTAATGGGTCCAGAAGGTACCTATGCTCCAATATGGCATTGGTCTGCAATACTCTGGCCTGGACAGCTACACTAAAATCTTCTGTCTGCTCACCTACAGGTGTTTGCTGAGAAGATGGGTCTTGAGACCGGCTGGAATTGCCACATATCTTTAACGCCTAATGGTGATGTGCCTGGCTCAGAGATCCCTCCCTCTAGCCCCAGCCATGCTGGCTCTCTGCACGATGACCTACATCAGGGTGAGAGAACTGCACCTAAGCCACTTTGAATGCCACGTGTTTCCTGGATGATTCTTTAAAACCCATTCATAGGTTCCTGTGTCCTCAGCAGATACCCGATCCTTCAGAGCTTTGAGCACAAAACTGGATGGGCCTGAGGTGTGTGTGTGTGAGAGCGAGCGAGAGCGCCTTACATTTATAGCCTTTATACTCAGTCAGTACCGCAGTTGGAAACAAACACCCCTCTGCACCAGCTGCCATGATTTTACAACTGCTCATTAGTGCTTTTAGTTCTTGCTGGGGCCCTACGCAAGCCACTGAGGGTGTCTTGCCTGTACATTACTCTCTTTTCTTTCTTCAGATGGGATTTCTTTACTCTTTTCTTCCCCTAGAAGAAGAGAGCAAGCAGAACAGATAAACTCTTCTGTCTCAAAAGAGCAGAGACTAGGTTCACATATCTACCTCTGAGCAGATTAGTCATCTAAAAATACTGCATTTTAGATGACTGAGTGGGATCTAAGTGTTGCTAACCTAGAAAATCAGGCCTCACATTTCCTGGCTTCTGCAGCGCCACATGAATATACCATGTGGGTGGCAGAGGCAGGTTTGTGCTTATTGTTTACGCTGCTTCTTTCTGCTCCAGTTTCTCGAGATGACGTAGAGGGGCTTCTGCTGATGGAAGAGGAAGGGCATTCGGATCTCATCAGCTTTCAGCCAACAGACAGCGATATCCCCAGCTTCCTGGAGGACTGTAACAGGGTGAGGCTCCCGTTCCCCACAGACCTTGTGCCGTTGTCATGGTCAGCAGTATCACCTCATTACTCCCAGAGGGAATTCCTCTTGAAGCAGATTGATTGACTGGTTTGCATTGGGACTCCTACTTTCCCTCACCCTCTTCCTGCTTGGTATCTGGAACCTGGGAAATTTGGGATTCTCTCAGTTAATCACTTTTGCTGAACAGGTCTTTTCTTTGGAGTTTAGAAATGGAGGTGACCACACATGGGGTAGCCTTGACAGCCGCATTTCAGTCCGTCTGGGTCCCCTTCCCATGTGCTGGGCAGGGAGTGGGAACGTCCCCACATTCCATGCAGACAGAAGAAACTTTGTCTCTCTACCAGCTGTGGGCCAGGGCTGGTGCTGCCAAGTAGTCAGAGTGCAGGACAAGCTTTTCCTGCCTCATAAAGGACTCAGAGATGTTCAGCAGAGGTTACAGGAATATCAGAGATTGATACAGATTTAAAAAAAAAAAAAATAATAATCTCTTAGGCCTTCTTTTAGAAAGCAAGAACCCTTCCCTTGCTGTGTGTTGATGTGGTTGCAACTGAAATAGATCCAGTTGCTGGAAGACAGCACAAAGACTCTGACTAGATTCTCCACATGGGTAAAAAGTCCTTAGAAATCGTGAGCGCAGGTCTGTCATGCTGATCTTACAAACCCTGGGGGTAAGCACAGACAGACAACTTGGTGTGTCAGTGTAGAACTTTAACAGAAGACTTTTTACAGCAGCTTGGGAAAGCCAGCTTCTGTCTGCAGGGACATCAATTTGTATCTGATCTTGAAGTTGCATAATTCTGGGAATCAGTTCTCATTTCAGCATTTCCCTCTGAAATGCCTCTCCCTCACACACACTCACCTGCTTAGTCTCTTCTTTCTCTTTTCCAGGCCAAACTCCCACGGGGGATCCACCAGGTGAGACCTCACCTGCAGAACATAGACAATGTGCCTTTGCTGGTGCCCCTCTTCACAGACTGCACCCCAGAGAGTAAGTGGCACAGAGCCTGCGTCTGTCCTACTGCTGCCCATTAACACCTTCCCCATCCATTTGCTCTGGCTCATCTGGGTGGGGACAGGGGTGAAGGGAACGGGATACAGTACAGAAATCTAGAAGGGCATTTTGATATTAATCACCCTCTAGTGCTTCCTGTGGGAAGCCAGGTGTTAACTTCATTTTAATGCAGCTGTTCCCTAGCTACAGAATTGGGCTAAAACCCACTCCTTTCAATTTGCATTTGTAAGAGACACAAAAGCAAACATCCAAAATGCTACTGCCTTTTATTAAATGCGCCTTATCAGGGTGCTAGGAGACTTTGATCTGTGCTCACAATCCTCCGTGCCTTATATAACTCGGAAATCACTTCCCAGAAGAATTTTCCTCTGGCAGTTGCTGTTAACACCTTCTGCTGCTTTGCAGAGTTTTTGATTGCAGAGACTCAGAAAGGACAAAATTTCTTTATCTCTCTGAGCGATACTGTTTTATCTAAGAAAGGGGCTGAGTGCTCAACTGGCTAATACCTGTCCAGTCTACAGTGAAAGCACTAAGCATCATTATAATATAGAATTTTAGGTACCTCTGGGCACAGTTTACAGAGTGCCAGTGAGAACCAGTTACAGCCTGGTCTGCCTAAGCAGTCAGTGACCAGTAGATTTCCTCTCTTTTTGGCAGAAGTGGCAGTTCCCCCCTTCATCTAACCCCTCAGTGCGCTGCAGATCTGGATGCACCAGTCATTTGGATAAGTTGTTTACACAGGAATCTGCAGAGGGTGGGTTTGGGGTTTTTTTTGCCCAGAGCATTCTAGAAAATTCATATACGCACTATGCACAGAGCTACAGAAGAAAAATCAGATCAAACAGCAGCTTTGATTTTGAGGCCCCGGGAGGGTGTTGATAAAAAGATGGATGAAAGCTAGAAGTAGTGGTGGGAGTGCAGGAACAGGGGCTGGCTCTGAGTGTGGCTGAGCGTGGCACTGCTTTTTGGAGTGGTTTGTTATATTCCCTCTGTTCCTTTAGGCTTGGAACAGTACTGATGTGCTGCTGAGCAGAATTTAAAATTGTGTATTTATTTTAGGTTTGAATTTAGGTTTATTTAATTTCTGGTGTTTTCTAACAAGACCATTTGATGCTGAAGCCATCTGTATTATATACCCAGGCTGTCCCTAGAGCTCTGGTCTGAAAGAGATGTGCCAGAGATGCAAATCTCTGGGTCACAGTCCTATGAACTGCAGCTCAGTTCCTGCAGGAGGCAGGTATACAGGGCACTTGGACTTCAATTAATTAGCTATCTAATTGTGGATTTTGACTTTGGATGTCACTATACATGACTGATGAATATCATTTGGAGTAATTTTAAGAGATCTGACTGCTTGTTATCCAGACTAGAAAGGGTGTGTAAAACACTGCATCTTTGTGTGCGTAATAAGGTAACACACTGTGTTTCTCCTTCTGTCCCTTTGCAGCTATGTGTGAGATGATCAAGATCATGCAGGAGTATGGGGAGGTGACTTGCTGTCTGGGAAGCTCTGCCAACCTGCGGAACAGCTGCCTCTTCCTGCAAAGTGATATCAGGTAGGGCAGGATCCAGACTCCTCCAGCAGCCTTTGCCTGGAGCTTAGCAAGTGCCCAGCCGTGGGTCACGCCAGACCTGTGGTTTATGCAGGGGGATGCTCACAATTCCTCTGTCCATTATTAGCTGCATTTGTCTCCATATGGGAGATTTGGGTGGTATTGGGGTGACTACCTAGATCCCTTGGCACACAGAGATATTTCTCTCCATCTTTGAAAGGAAGATGTTACTCTTCCATGCTGAACTATTGTGCACCAACTGGCATTACAGATGCTTCCGATTGGGTGAAAGAGTGGAAACGCCCTCTGGATCAGCCTTGCCCTTGAACCACAAACCCAAATGTGTTCATTATTTCTCTGGGAATAACTGAAAGTCTAGGGAGATTGATCCTGAATTCACGTCACAGCTCAGGACTTCTCTACCAGCAAGATTGATAGAGGTGGCATGGTACTTTACAAGCTGTACTGCAGTGAAACATAGTTTCTCCTCTGGGATGAGGACTTTTGCTAATGCTCCCGTGTTGTCCTTGCAGTATAGCACTGGACCCTCTCTACCCATCTCGCTGCTCGTGGGAGACTTTTGGCTATGCCACCAGCACCACCATGACTCAGGCCTCTGATGAGCTCACCCCGCTGCAGCTCTCAGGGCAACTCAACAGCCTGCCCTGCTCCATGTCCTTCCGCCAAGAAGAGAGTACCAGCATCATCAGGCTTATAGAGCAGGTGAGCCAGGCATATCCCCTCTCCAGTACTCACCCCTCTGTCTGCAGCTCACAAAGAGCAAAGCCAGGAGCTCACATGAGCATTCCTGTTGAATTGCTGGCAGTACGCTGCCAGCATTAGCTTTTCTCATGTCTCCTGTCCTTTGTTCAGGAAGCACAACAGAGATACTCTTCCTGCCTGGCCCTGCTGGTCCAAGGTGTAGGGGATGGTTTGGGAATGGTGCCTTGTGGCAACAGAACATGAATATTGTTCAATTGGATAAAGTATAAACTTGTAGAGATCCCTAGCTAGACAACAATGCAGTGCTGGGGAGAAGTGTTACCCCAGAAAAGCCAGCAGGTTTAAACAAACTTACCCCTTGGCTAAATTCCGCCTTTCTTTCACAACCTCTACATCTATGCAGGAGACCTTCCCCTTTTGCTTGCAATGTGTCCGGATCCTCTCCCCTCCCACTTCCCCTGCACACCACATGTTCTGCCCCTGCCTGCCAATAATTGCTCTTGGCTGATAACTGCTCCCATCACAGCGAGGGCTCTGAGGGCTTGTGCTTCCTTCCAGGCCAGGCATGCAACGTATGGGATCCGCAAGTGTTTCCTCTTCCTGCTGCAGTGCCAGCTGACCTTGGTTGTCATTCAGGTGAGTCCTGGTCTGGCTAGGGACAGCATTTAGCTCAGAGGACAGGAGTGCTAGCATGGATATGGGTGGCTGCAGTGGGGCAGCCTTGCGACAGAGGGAGATGGCCTTCAGTCAGGCTTACAGAGCACATTTGGGAAAGTTACCGATAGACACTATGTGATATCAGACTATATTGCCCCTTCTCCCTGACCCTCCTACAGAAGTTTCTTTTCAACCCCTTTTTCCTTGGAGGAAAGCATCCCCTGCAGCACCTGCCCTAGCAGCCTGGAACATGTGGAGGGGCTGTGCAGTGCCACCCTAGTTACCAGCTCATCCCAGTGTTTTGGGGGAGGACAGTAGCATCTTGGGTAACAAGACTGTCCTAGCACTGCTTACTGTCTTCGCTCTGGATTGTTCCTGTCCAGTTCCTCTCCTGCCTGGTGCAGCTGCCCCCCATCCTCAGTACAACGGACATTGTGTGGCTCTCCTGTTTCTGCTACCCACTGCTCAGGTGAGTTTATCAAACAGGGTGGAACCACTTGCCTCCCACCCACAGGATGCACAGACCAGTCCCCCAGCTTCACTGTGTCCATGTTAAAAGCAAGCATGCTGTGGGTGATGGCAGCTAAGAAGGCTGCAAGTATTATTCCAAGAACCTGCTTTGGCAAGGTGCTTGGAAACACAGGTAGGAGCATTTGTGTACTGCTCTGTTAGCCCTGCCTGCTATTGAACCTCCAGCTGAAAGTCATCTTCTAATCTTGATCCTGCTGCGCTGGCTGGAGTGCAGTGGAGAGCCTAGAGTGTCAGGCAGAGGCCAGAGTACCATGGGTGGTACTTTTCCCCCCCATCACACAGCTGAAAGTCACCTCTCTTCCTGTCTGTACCTGCCGTGGGTGACACCTTTTACAGCACACACTAAGACAGTGGCCAGATAAGTGCCAATGCTCCAAGCGGTCTGAGGAGGTTATTTGTGTTCAAATGTTAGACCCAGAAAAAAAGCAATAGTTCTGGTGCCTGAACTTGTTACTGAGACTAACTTACCTTTCTCCAGCATCTCGCTCCTGGGCAAGCCTCCCCACAGCTCCATCATGACCATGGCAACAGGAAAAAACTTGACTTCCATTCCTAAGAAGGTAGGTGGCCCATCAGATTAAAGTTGTTCACACATTCTTCTCTTCTACTTTGTCCCAGTGTTGATGTGCAGCTTGGGCCTTCCCAGCTCCCTTGGTAAATCGATCCATGGCCTAAGCCATGCTATCCAAAAGCCTGGCATGAACAGGAAGGTCAATGCCAACATCCCCACAGGGCAGATCCACTGCACAACATCTCATCTGTACTACACCTTGTCTTTTGCAGCCAGTGATTTCCTGGTGGTTCATGTGGGGGAGGCTGGGCCAGTGACATGCCCATGTCATCCTCCTGCTTCTCCCTTATTCACAGACTCAGCACTACTTCCTGTTCTGCTTTAGCCTGACCTTCTGCTCCTGCCTCATCTGCTTCGGGTTCACGCTGCATGAGTCCTGCAAAGAGGTGAACGCTACCAGCCTCAATCTCACAGCCTGCTCCTCCATCATGCTGCACAGGTGAGAAACTGAGCCTGGCACACCCCCCTCACCCTGCAGGGCCTATTGCTCTTCCCAGGTAGAACTGATTCCCCTGTAACAAGCTTCAGAGTCTTGCACGATCCAGCTACAGCGGCTACGTAGAGCGCTGGGTGCCTTGACAATGGCATCTTTGCTCACTGTTGCCTCCTGGTACTAGGACAGCCTGACTCCAAGCCCACACTTAATTCTGTCAGCTATCAGAGGAGGAAATGGCCCCGGTGGGAGCAGATCAGACCGTAAGTCTCCACTATTGACTTCTTTCTGCTGTCCTCTCTTTACTAGCAATGCTGATGGTGCTCCTGACTGGTTTGGGACTTTTTCCAATGCTCTTCTTGTAGCCCAGAAACTCACAGCTGGCCTGATTGTTTTACACACAGGTAAGTCCCTGTTCCCAGACCCCCATTCCTCACTCTGGGGTCAAACTTGCATCCTTTGCCTCTTTCTTTGACCCCTATGCCAGAGCACAAACTCCCTGATAGAAGCAGACACTGCAGTGGCCTCTCAGCACAGGCATAAAGCCCCTTGTCTTACTAAACATTACCCTAACAGATTAAAGGCAGCGCCTTCAGAACTGATTCTGCTTCCTACCAGCACTGCTGAAGTGCTGATTCCTCCCCAGTCTCACCAGAAGAACAGCATCCCTCTTTGCCTTCTTGCAAATCAGCTAACAGCATCCTGCAGCTCTCCAAAAATATTTCCTGCCTCAAAAGTCCTTATATGCCTGCTGCCGTTTTGTGAAGCACCCCATTTCCTTCCCCCAAACAGCACTAGTGCAGCTGCAGTGACCCTACAGCCTTTTTAAACCCTCTGGAGAGGTGGTGAGCCAGCACCTGGCTGACCCTCATCACCTGCACGTGATTGCCTGGCAGAGTAGGTCCAGCTGCTTTCTGACACCCTTAAAGGGTCTCTGCTCCCTTTCCAAGGTGCTGTGCCTTGGTGCCAGGCATGGCATTGCGCGTTGAGATGTGCAGGGTGTCCAGGCCAACAGAAACGCTTCCTGATTTGAGAGGCAGCCCTGCTTTGGGGAGAGGTAGTGTGCATTACTGTGCTCTGTCCTTCAGACCACTGAGGCTAGGCGGGGATGCTCTGGCAGGTGGGAAATGCTGTTCTGAAGAGCTCAAGCGAAAGCTGTGCAAATGCTCTGTCCTGTGCAGACAGCTCTGGGTCTCTCGCTAAATATCTTTCTCTGGGCTGGAGCTTTCCAGTGGTGCAGGCCTGCTGTGACCCAGAGACAAGGGTATTCCCCCTCCCCACCCCATCTCCCTAGTTCTGGTCCTTTGCCTGATCTGCTTTAGCATGCCAGGCTGCGAACCAACCGTGGCATCCCCACAGTGAGCAACCCGGTGCAGTGCTACTACTGCGCTCCCCCCTTGCCCTGCGTATTTGGGGACTTAGAATTGCTGTGAGGAGAATGGTCTGAAAGGCCCTTGAAGGAGAAGTTGGTTTCAGGGACATAAATCCCATATTCCTTTGGAGTAATAGTTGTTGATGTATACTGTAAAGTGTTGTACCCGTGTGTGATGCTAAATAACCTCCTCTTCCATCTGTCCCTGTAGTGTTCATATCCATCACCCACGTCCATCGCACCAAGCCATTGTGGAAGAAGAGCCCTCTCTCCAACCGGTGGTGGACACTCACTGTGGCTGTTGTGTGAGTATCCCCAGGCCCTGATGAGGCACTCCAAAGTGCTGGAGGAAGGAGGGCTCTAGACCTGCTCCAGCACCAGTTTGCTGGTGCTGAGGGAAGTTTTGGTCCAGGGCAATTGTTCTCCACTGCTGAATCAGTGAAGGGTCTCTGTTGTGAACTCAGGGGTGTTACATCTGGGCCCGAGCCTTGATCTGCAGATACTGGGAAGCTTGTTAGCTCTGCTGAGATTTTGAGTGTCTGTTTTTTCATCTTAGATTGTTGGGGCAAGTGGCACAGACTGTGCTGGACCTGAAACTCTGGGAAAACCTCAATTCTTCATTGACCTTTAACCACGTTTCCATCTCCCCGGTCTCGTGGCTCCTGGGTTTTCTTTCCTTGGTCCTTGTGGTTATCATCAATGAGATTGTCAAGCTGCATGAAATCAGGTATGGGGCTAGTAGAGAAGATGAGGAGGAAGGGCTGGAGCCTCACTCCAGCCTGGCCTCGAGCTGCAGAAAAATGATGCACAGGGAACAGGGTGGGGAATAAAAAGGAAAAGATGATTGCATTGTGTAAAGCACCTGGCTATTGTGTGCAAGCTCATGTTTCACCTTTCAGGGAGGAAGCGCAGAGGAGGAAAGAGGGTCAGGGAAGGGCAGTGGCAGTGATTGGGAGCAGGAAGGGAGATGAAAATTTCCTTATCTCAAACCAATGAGAGGGAGACAGCCAAGGTCTATGAAATACCAGTATGGAACTGGAGAGGGCTGTTCTCTCCATCTCGTCCCATGAGGACAGAGAGGCATTGAATCACAGCAGAGGAAATACGTCTTCACACAGTGCCTGGACTGTGGGACTCATTTTCACAGGAAGTGGCCAACGCCAAGAATTAGTAGCAGGCAAAGTGACTGGCTGTTCTTCTTAGCACAGGGAACAGCCGGAGCTGGGAGTTAACGCTAATGAGCATTGATTCAGGAAAGGGGTTGCTGAGGAAAAGCAGCAGGGATTTCAGGGAACCCTGATGGGGACGGAGCCGCTGTCTCTGTTCCTGGGAAGGATTTCTGGACCTTTCCCTGCTGTGTTGGCTGACCCTGGAGACGGGACTTGGCTGGATGGGATAGGATTGAGACCATGGGTTGCTTTCTGGGTTCGATTCCCCCCTCCAGGGTACCACAGGGCCCAGACCAGGGGCTTCTCTGCTTCTTGGGGCTGTGCAGCTCAGGAATTGCAGTGGGGCAGCCTTGCTTGCCTTTCGCCCCTCCACATGCTGACTCTCTTCTTTCTTCTGCCTTCTCCAGGGTCCGCGTCCGTTACCAAAAGAGGCAGAAGTTGCAGTTTGAAACAAAGCTGGGGATGAATTCGCCGTTTTAAACCCTCCCAGCTCGAGTTCCCGGGAGCCAGGGCCACACAACCGCATCCTGCACTGGGAGGGTGGCTGCACCAAAGGCTCAGGGCGTTTTCCCTCACACATGCAAACCAGACAGCCTCCGTGCAAAACTGCATCGACACCTTCCGGGGGTCCCCTGGCAGGGCACTGCTGTCGGGATCGCCCAGCAGGTATGCAGCCCCCTCCCCGGCCTGCTAGGGTACTCTCAAGGGAGCCTGCAAGCTCTGGTGGCTGTTCAGGCTGCCCTTCCTTTATTTATTTATTACTAGAGGTTCTTGTTAGTATCACGGTGATGCTGAAATGAAGTGACTCCTTCCCTCTGCATGAGCAGATAGGTTTCCTGGACCTGCCAGGAGAATCTGGGGCCAGCAGGGGAGACACAGGGCTGCTGAAGCAAGAGATCTCTATTGAAACCCATTTTCGTTTTCCATCTCTGGGTGCTCTCCTGGATGATGTGTGTATGTGCATGTCCTCACCCACCTCCCTGTGTCCTGGTGGGGAAGGAGCCACGTGTCCTGCAGCTCCAGGAGTGCTGGGTGCCAGGGGAGGACTGGAGCTCGAATTCCCAAGGGAACACGGGGAAGGGTCTCCGGCAGGATGCTGGGAACGCCCCTACGATGGCCAGGCTGTACCAGGCCTGCCCTCTAGTGTTGTTGCTGTAGCCATCTGCCAGCTGTTGGGTGCTTCAAGAGAAGGGGGATGAGACAGGGTTTTAAGAAAAGCTGTCCGCATTTGACCCTGGGGATCTGGTGCAGAGGGAGTCAGGAGGGCAGCTCTGCCTGCCTGCAGGGAGTCAGCATGGCTTAGCTTCCTCCAGCCCTGGTGCTCTTATCTGCTTTAACAACCCCCAGAGAGGTTTATAACTGTTCTCATTTTTGTGATTCGACTTGCCGTTCTGCTTCAGTAAAATGCCTGTTTAAGAGGGCCATAGCTAGAGATAAAACCTCAGCCCTACCTATCCTGCCATGGAGGGAGGGGGGCATCTTTCCAGGCAGGATATCTGCATCTTGCAGTTGTGACTAACACAGAGCTGGTGGATGGCTCCTTTCCCAGCCGGGGATTGTGCTGCGTCCGGTACTTGCCCCCCAAAGTACAGGGAAACCCCTCTCATCATGTCTTTCTGTGGTAGTGTTTGGAAGTCTCTCCCCTCCATGCTGCTGCCCTCACATCTGTTCCCTGTTTTTCTGGAAGCCTTTTCTTCATTTGACTGGGGGACACCTTCCCCTGAGGGCTGCTGCAAACCATGATATGCCCCAAGGTGGCACACATGCTCTTGAGCTCTGAGCAGACCCCAGCTGTACTGGGAACACTGGTGCCCTTGTGAGCTGACAGTCGAGGGCCACACAGGAGCACACAGACTTGGCTGCCGGAATATTTGCAGCTCATGGAGATGTTGATCCTAGTTCTAAAAACTGGCTAAAGCTGGTAAATCCTGGCACTGGTTTTGCTCCCAATATTAACACTACAATATACAGCTGTTACTTCCCGTTTGGTACCTGAGACTAACAAATTGCTGCCGGTCCTTCCCTGGCAGGCGGGGAGCTGGCTGGCACCCCCCAAGCTCTGCCCTGCTGCTCCACCTTGTCTTCCTTACATTTCAGCATAACCAGAGAGCATGCGCGCTACTGCGTGTCTTTAAGCAATACCCTTCTCCCTGCTGTGGGCTTGGTAGGTGGCAAAGCGGGGGTACAGTCAGCCTCTGAGCTCTGGGGACAGACGGAGGATGACGGAGAGGGGCTGGGGGTGTTGAAAGGCCTTGGACCCCGTTCCTACAGCTGGAGAGAGGATGTTTGGATTCCACGCTGCTGGCAGAGTTGCGCGGGACAGGGAGCCAGCAGCTCACTGGGGAAACGCAGGGCTGCTCTCCTGCAACGCAGCAGTACCGGGCCGCTCCTGCTTGCAGAGTGGGTCCGCTCACCTTTGCCAGCTCAGCTGAACTCTGCCTTCGCTCCTCTCGGGCCTGCAGAGCTGCCCGACTCAGGGAGGACAAGCTGCATCTTTCTCAGTCTCGCTTAATTCACTAAAAGTCAGCTCCAGTTCTCTTACCGTGGCACCTGAGAAATCAGCTTTTCTTTCTGATGCCCAGACCAGCTGGCAGGTGGGATACAGCCTCCTCTAGGGCCGAGCTGAGCTGGAGGCAAAGGCAGCACCAAGTTGCTCACTGCTATTCCTGCAGAGCAACCTTCCCCCCAGACTTTAGCTCTTGCCCTGTGCCGCTTAACTGTTGTAGGTGATAAAAGGTGGCAGATCCTGGGGCTTCCTGCTGGCCACACCTTGCTCTAGAGGAGGCACCTCCAAGGTTTCCTTCTCTGGGCAATCACAAATGTTTATTTTCCTGCACCCTCCTTCCCCTGGCTAGACTTGCAGGGAGCCGAGGTGTATGAATGGAGCTTTTTGGATGGTCTCGCCAATGCCACCCTTCCCTTGGCCATTGAGGTATCCGAGGGTCAGGGAGCACGGCTTCAGAAGGAAATTTCCTACATCAAGATGTTTTTAAATGGTGTATATTTTATATTAAATTTTTTGGGATGTATGTAAAAATATTTGATTTGTATTAAAACAGGTAAATTGTATTAAAAAAAAAAAAAGAGAGAAAGAAACCAACCCAGACCCACATGCATCCGGTGAACGAACGGCAATAAATGATTGTCTTGGATAACACACAGTGAGAGTGGGAGGGAGTCTACACCCGGCAAAGCGAGGAGGTAAAAACGTGTATGGCAGCTTACGTCTTTGGGTCCGAGTTACCGGGCTCACCTGTTGTAGGGACACAGCCCGAGAGTTTGATGCTCCTGGGACCTGCTCCTGGCACTTTTTTCCCCACTTTCCGCTCAGCTTTGGGAGAATTCTGTCCAGCTCCGAATGCCTCCTCCTACAGAGTAACGGCCTGATTACCTCGCGGTCTCCTGCATCCCAGGCGCAGCACACGTGGTTGTTCCCAGGCACTGCTCGGGTCGTGGTGGGTGGCACGGTTTGAAGCCCTCTGGATGAAAGGTCAGGGGTGAGCTGGAACAGGCACTGCGAGCACCGGAGAAAAGCAGCCCGGCGAGATGAGGTCTGGCCCTGGTGTCACTGTGGCCGCACTCTGATCACCAAGGAGGATGGAGGGGTGCTTTGCCCGGCAGGCGGGGGTAGCCGTGGCTTCAGACGTGCCCAAAGCTGGGCAGCTGGTGCCCAGCGCTCTCACCACGTTCCTGCCATGGTGGTAAGACTCAAACCGAACGTTAACCTCACTGGAAGCGACAGAGGGACTCACCAGAGGAGATGATCTGAGGAAACCCAGATCTTAAGCGCTCAAGGGGCAGGATAATGCTGATCCTCGATGAACTTCAAACAGAGCAGGAGAGGAGCTTGTGCGATTTGACAGGAAGGAAACGAGTAGGCAAAACTATCAAAAGGGTAAAATGTGCCCCACTGTTTAATAGAATTTAGTCTTAATGGATGTTAGTGGAAAACAAAACACATGATTAACACAAACAGAGCAGATGGTTTAAAATCTGTTGTCAGTCTGGTGATTACACGGGCTATTTTTTCCCCTCACTGTCTTGCTGCACGGAGCAGGTGCAGCCGGGGTCAGGTAGTCCCAGTTGCAGTGTACATAACTTACACACCATACAGTAGCTTCAAAATAGAGATCTAGAGCTTAAAAAATAGGCATTCTTCTGCAAAATCAAATGTTTAATTCCCTTATTGTCAATGAGAGCAGCGTGGTGCTGCCCTCAGGTGGCTCAGACAGCAACAGCTCCACCCCAGTGTCCTCTTATCCCTGACCCCAGAGTACAAGACTTGCAGTTCTGGTTAGTAAATATATATAATAAATCACATTTAAAATATATACATTGGCCTTTTAAAAAAAAAAACATTTACAGTTTATCAACAGTGGAAAAAAATAACTGGGCTTCTCCCAGGTTGACTCGCGAGAGTAAAAATCAGTTTTAAAAGGTTTCTGCAAACCTTTTGATAAAGTGCCACTGGTTGGAGCTACTTAAAAACAATGGGGTCCACGACGTAGCACTTGCCTGTCAGCCACGGTCATTTAAATACACTCAATGTGATGTATAAATCAGAGCAACCAACTAGCCTAGAGAGAAGTTGTCTTAACTGCCTCAAACTGACCTCGAGTCCCAGCCAAAAATTTTATTCTTTTTTTTTCAGGGCTTTTTCATCTTTGCTTTTCAGCCTAGAAGCCAGGCAGGCACCTCCCGCCCCCCTGCCCCGTGGCACGACTGCCGCTCGTGAGCACAGACCCTCAGGAATGTCCAGGCGGGCTCCGCTCGCAGCGGCTGCTCCCCTTCCCCTACAGGGGGACGAGGGGCTGCAGACAGTCCGATGCAGTCGCAAACTCCTAAAAGGATTGGGAAGCAACTGCCACTTCAGCCACCTTCTCCCTTCCCAGTTCGTCTTTGCGTTGGGGATTTTTTTAAAAAGGGGGGATACGTGGAATACTTTTTTCCCCTTTGTTTGGAATTTTTGTAGCAAATGGCACTTTAGTACAATCTTAGGTTCCCTTCTGGTGCTCTGATGCTTTCATTTGCTTGGCATGCCGAGCGCAAGCCAAGTTCGGGGCTCTTGGACATATTTAGACATGCACTACTAAACAGATCCTGCTCGAGAAATCTGTCTTCGAGCTATGCAGCCGTTCCTCCCGCTTGGATGCAATGAGCTATCGCTGCTGTTCCCCTGCTGCAGCCACGGGGCTGTGACTGCATCCAGCCTGCGCGCACAGTAGCTGTTGCCGAGCCGAACTCACCCAGTGCGCGCGGGGTCACCTCTCCCGCTGGGTTTTAGTGCTGGGAGGAAGCATCTCCCGGAGTCCCAAATGCTGCTACTGTTTAACGACGCTCACAGCGGACTTTGTGCCAGCAGCTGCCCGCAGGGAGGGGGGAGTGGGAAAAGGGACCATTTTCTCCCCCAAAAAAGGGATAGGGGAGGGGAAAAAAAACAAAAACAAAACCACTAACCATGCTGCTGCTTCACCCTGGAAGCACGGGGGTGGGGGTTTGCCTAGGCACGGTGTCGGCAGAGGGCAGCCTCCGTTCAGCAGCACGATCCAGCCGGACTGGCACAAAGGCACAGCCCTTCGGCGCTGCCATCGCCATCCTCACGGCTCTGGGAAAGGGGCAGGTAGCCCTCCATGTCCGGCAGGGCCGTGGCGGAGCATCCGCCTCTTCGCAGGTTGTCCCAAGCTCCGTCTCGAGGGGTTTGTGCGTCCCACCAGAAGGATTTCGATCCACTTGGATTACACGCTGCCTGACGCCGACGCGTTTGGAAAAGCAACGAATAAAGCAGAAAGGTTCCTTCTCGCTCTGCAAGCTGCCAAATTGCAACAAGCCCTGTCTTCTTTTAGCTGCTGTCAGGCCTTGCCGGGGCTGGGATCTGCTCAGTAAATAGCCAGCTCGGTGGCGGCTGCCCGGGGAGGTCTCTCCTTTGACACATTGTTGGCAGGGGATAAATAATAAGAGGCAGGACTCGGCAATGCAGCGGGGAAAGAGAAAGGTCCCTTGTGGAGGCTCCTCGGCTCTGTGCAAGGGAGTGAGGGCTTCTCCGTGGCCTCCAGGACCGCATGTGCAGCCCCTCTGGGCTCTTCTCCTGCTGCCAGTCTGGTGGGAAATGCCTGACCCTGTCGGAAACCGGCCCGCGGCCACGCCGGCACGTGTGATACGGAGCCAGGGGTGAGCAAGGAGGGGCAGCCGCGTTCCCAGCCGCAGCGCGAAGTGCGGGGAGGGAAGCGGCTGGAGAGACCTGGAGGCACCGCTCAATGCCGGCTCCGCTCTCTCCTCCCATCGTGAGTGGCACCGGTGGAGCAGCCGGAGGCGGGGAGGGGAAGGAGGGAGCAAGGCTCAGTCCAGCATCGCGTCCAGCTGGTCGGCCAGGTCGTCGAACATGTTGCTGATGTCTTCCAGGATGTTCTTGGCTGAGTGCACAGCCCCGGGGTGGCTGGGGAGGGAAGGGAGAGAGTCAGCACACCACCCAAAGGCTTCTGGTGCTGATGGGGTGAGTTGGCCGGGCAGGACCCGACCCTCTTGGTGGCAGCCGGAGCCCAGCACGCAGCTGGATTCCAGCACGCATGACCTGGTGTGGTGCAGGCATGTCCCCACGCACAGCCCTTCACCTGCCCTTACTGGGGGCGTCCTAATTCCACCTTAAGGGGCCCAACTCCAGCGTCTCCCTCGCCCCCAGTGCTGCCTCACCTCTCCACCTTCGCTGTGATCTTCTTCTCGGCTGCTTGCCGCGTGGCGGCCCGGGGCGGGGT